TTAGGGCTGGGCTGTGCCGGTCGGTGCCGGCCGTGCCTCAGTGCCGCCCCCTTTGCAGGACTGGCCGCCGCGGGTGCGGGCGGCCCCGCGGTGCGGGCGGTGCGGGCGGGCGCTGTCGCTGCTGGTGCAGGTGTACTGCCCGCTGGAGCGCGGGCCCGCGCACCGCGCCCTGCACGTGTTCGCCTGCGCCGCGCCCGGCTGCGGCCCCGCGCACAGGTGAGCCCGGGGGGATGGAACCCGCGGGATGGAGGGTACTCCTGCGGCTCTTCCCCGCGCTCACCGTGTCTCTCTTTGCCCCACGCCGAAGCTGGAAGGTGCTGCGCTCCCAGTACTCGCAGGCGCAGGAGAAGGAAGCCCGAGCCCACCCCGTGCCACAGGTACCGCTCACAGCCTGCCCGCCGCTGCGCCACGGCTGGGGGGAGGCTTGGAAATAGAGCCACGGCTGAGCTGGAAGAGCTTCACACCTTATGTCCCGTTGTTGAAGTAACCACAACCTTTCTCCAGAAGCTGTGCTATACATTAGCTTCCAGTCACATGCGTGGCCGTGTGAAGAAGTCATGTCACAGAATTTTTGACACCATACTACATTGTTTACTAGAAGATTAGATCACAGATGTAAGTTATGTTAGGATGATTTTAAAGTGGAAATCACACTTCAGTTGTATGGTCAAAATTGATATTTAATACTTTAGTTAGTGGTGCTAACTAAACATCATTTTTCAGCTTCAAATGATTGGGCTATGCTGTTTAGGTTCAGACCTTTAAGATGTTTTCTTTATTTTCTAATTTAAATTTATTTTTTAAAAATTTGTCATGAGTTTTAATTAATCCAACTGAATTATTGTTAATATACTTGTGAGAAAAAACTGCATATTGGCTTAAGCAGATTGGAAGAGGCAGGTGGTAGTCAAATTAGTGAAAACAGGCAGGAACTGTTTCTTCAGCTGGGGCATTTGCAACGTGAAATTTTGGTCTGTAAATGAGCTTTACTGTGACAAAATGATGGTGGTGTCATTACTGTTGTTATTACTTCCTTCCACATTCTGCCCTTGGACTTACCTGTGTGGCAGTAACTGTGCTGCAGCTGGAGGTCCCCAGCAGCAGGATGGACAAGGGCCACTCAAACAGCTGATGAATTCCTGTTCTGATTCTCCAGTGTGAGATGTTCCTTGCCATAACTGTTCTGATGTGAAAAGTAAATGTGTGTGTGATGGGAAGTAACACTGTGAGGAGAATATGTGAAATAACACTGAGCACTAGGTTAAGGTTTCAGTTTTCTCAGCTGTTAGGAAACTGTATTTGAAGTGCTTTAGGGTGGATGACTTGACAATGTTGTTTTCCCTTTTTTTTGGGGGTTCTCAGAAACAAGGATCAAGCTTTGCTGCAAAGGATTGGTGTGAGGAGGCGGATGACTGGGGAGTCAGTGATGCAGCAGAGCCTCCTGCATGTGCCTCCCTGCTGGGCTTAGGTGAAGCAGTGAGCAGCTCCTTGTCCAGAGAGCTGGACTGTGCATCCCAGCTCCAACAGCTTCGCTTGGCTGAGGCTGCAGAGGGCTCAGGTTCCCGGGACACACATCCTGCAGCCAGTGAGGAAATGGTAATGGAAACACCTGGTCCTGCTCCTGTCTTCCAACCCTTTTATATTAATGTGGTGGATGAGGAAGACTGCAGTGGCTTCCTGGATACAGACCATGCAGATGAGCTACTGAAGGAGTATCAGCAGAGAGAGGGGCTTGATTTGGAACAGATGATGTCAGAAAGGTGAGAACAGGTTTGGATTTCATGGTGAAACTGGAGGAATTGTGTAGTTTCCTGTGTGCTGACTGATGATCTAAATGGGACTGCCACTAAACCTGGATGATTTTGTTTGGAACTGGCTCCTTCAGGAACACTGGTTTCTTGGAAGAACAGAACAGTGCACCCAGTTCTGTCAAATTTTGAGTTTTTCAAAGATGCATCTATTTCTGAGCAGTTGGAATCTTCTTGGGCTCTAGATAGAGCAGAGGACAATCTCTGGGTCCAAACCAGGGTGGCTGAAACAATATCTGTGCTAAGTGGCATGGGTTTATATTGTGACATTTGACACTTTTTCTTTACAAGGCTAAAGCTTTTCTTACGTTGCAGTTGCATTTTGAAGAGTTCAGGGATTTAGGGATTTTTGGCTAGAGACTGTCATGATGGTAAGACTCCTGAAGGTTTAGTAAAGGTTGTCTGAAAAACAATTTTTGAATGTAGTTACTGAAAAAATTTTCTTAATAAAATGTTTAACTTAGGTGATCACAGTGAGCACTTATATCCAGGTCATTTGACTTTTCCTGAATTGTGGACAATGTTGAGTTTGTTTATAGCTAAAGCTACTGTCCTTGCAGAATCTGCATAGAACACTTGTCAGCAGTGGTGTTCCTGTTGAGTTTTGTTGACTTTTATAGAATCATAGAACCTTAATTATGTTTGATTCAAAACTAAAAAAGACAACATCATAATTTAAAAACTAGACAAACTTTTGAGAAGTTACTAAAGGGTTTTTTGAAGGAATAAAGCTGGTGGATTTGAATCCCGTGGGATAGTTTTAAGCACTGTTAGTAATTGTAAGCCACCAGAAACTGAAGAACCAGAAGCAGAATGTTCACTTGCAACCCCTAATAGGAATTGTCTCCTAACATATATAGTTTTATTTAGTGTACTTAGTGTAATTTAATGTGAGTGTATAGTAACCATTGCTTATTTAAAACATGCATGTCATACTGAAAACCTTATTGGACATCTTGTTTCTTTCCTTGTTTTCTTCCAGCTTTGCAGGTGAAGGTGGTAATGAAAAATATGAGAAGACTGAAGTCAAAAGCTGGGACCACACGTTTCATAAATTTATGAAAAGAATATCTCTGTGTCCTGAACAGATTCTAAGGTAATCTAGTTGTAATGGAGAGATACAGATTGTAGACTTGAATTGTCAGTACATCAAACCAAACTATTTCATTGGAAAGATATGTATGCTTTTATTTCTTCATCAAAAAAATTGTTATGGTTGTTGCCATGGCTGTGTGGTCAGGCTTCAGTCCCTGGTTGGGCTGGTTTTGTACAAAGTGTGAGTAGATGAGAAGCAAAGTAGGATCAGAGGCCCCAGCTCTGGCTATGGGAGACTTTTTTGACACAAGACCTGATGAGAGCAGACCCAGACTGTCTGTGAAGACTCACTGAAATGCAGACACAGATTTTCAAGAGACAGTTTTGAGGTGGAAGTCTGGGAAGTAAGGTGGAACAGTGCTGTGCTGTTGGGATGGGTCTCCCAGGCTACCTCCTCCTCTCAAATTTTGTAACCTGTTTGTAATTTCTAATGTCTCAGTCCTTGAGATGTTACTGAATTAAGAAATTACTTGTTTAAAAGCTTCAGTTCTGTAACAACTTCTTGTGCTGATCCCCTGCAGTCTTCAGGTCTTGTAAATGTGTTGCTTTCCCCAGAGCAGAAGCAGTGTAACCTCAGAGTAGCTACTCTCTCAAAAGAGGAGTTAATTCTGCATGGGAGCATAACAAGGGGATTAAATCATAAGTCATTCATAGTAGCAGATAATACTCAAGGTTTTCCTGGGTCACACCAAGTGTTCCAGAGAGTCCAGTGCTGCCTGGCTGGTCAGGCTGGCTCAGTGTAGTGACAAGACTTTTGCTTTATCAAGTTTCCAGAATCAAGTGGAACCAACTGGTGCCTTTGTGATGGGAGCTGAAGTCTGAGGGACTGGTTACACATATAAGAAACATTAGGGACTTTCATTAATTAACTACCAAAGGTTATACAGGAGATGTAGTAACACAGAGTGCAAGTAGCATTTCTTTCAGCTTTTCACTGGATCTATCACTTTGCAGTATTGTGCTCTTGGAATTTTTTATTCTAAAACATCATCTCTGGTGATCCCTGAGGTGTAAAATATTAATTATAAATAATAAAATATTTAAAATAGTTAAAGTCTAATATTATATTATTAAAAATATTTTTAAAAGTTTAAATATTACTATAACACTCATTATAATCTTTCCATAGCCCTCCCTTTGCCCTTCCTTGGTTATATCAGTGCTGTTGGACTCCCACTGCTCCTGGGCTGTGGATCTTGTTGAGCTTCAGCAAAGCACACAATCTCCTGCTTGGTGTTCAGTGGAAACCATCCTTGGTCTGGGTTTCCTGTTAGTTGTGAGGCTGTGAGAGCTCTTACAAATAAAACACCAGTTCTGAGCCATAACTGCAGTGGGTTTGAGACCTATTCTGTGTTGAATCTTTTCCTTGAATCTTACCTTTTACTGCTGCTATTTACGATTCCAGTTTTCAGGAAAGTGTAGTTTCCTTAATTAAATGAGTCAGGTACAGCATATTTTGGAGGTGTCAATTCAAAGCATTTATCTCCTTAAAACCAGGTCTTTCCTAAAGATTTTCCACGTGTTGACCTTCCAAGTATTTCCCCCTTCCCATCTTTATTCTTTGTTTAATGACTCTTTTGAAGCTTAGGCAACGATTCTGACTCATAACCATGGTTTTTACTTCAAGCAAGTTCAGAGATTGCAGTGAAACCAGAACACAGTTGCCAGGATGTCAGTTTTCCTGTCAAATTTAGGTAGTAAAAAATAATTCTTTGTTCCTTCCTTTCTTCTCTTAGATACTCCTGGGGTGGGCAGCCTTTGTTCATCACGTGTCCTCCAGCCAACATCAGCATTCCAGCCTGCAGTACCTGTGGGAGCAGCAGAGTGTTTGAGTTGCAGCTGATGCCAGCCCTGGTCAGCCTGCTCCAGAGTGACTCAGGTGCTGAGCTCTGCCTTAGTCCAGGCAATACCAAAACTGTCACCTTTGTGGTATTTGGATTGTTTCTTTTTCCCCACAGGCACTGATGTGCTTCACTACAGTGATCACGTTCTGTAGAATTCACTGTTTCCGTTAGAGATTTCGCTGAGCAGAAGGGAGTACTCTGCTTGCACCTTCACTTGCTCACCAGTGAACTTTAATAACTGCAACAGGGGTCATTCCACGACCCTGGGAGTAATTTGTCTTTATTGCCTCTTAAAGGAGGCCTTGGAAAATAATAAATATTGTCAGATAAGATTGCAGACACTTAAGGAGCTCTTTAAAAAGTCCAAGTCAGCTTGCTTTAAAACATTTAAAATCAGAAAATGCTGTGTACATAGGAGACTGAATATGAGAAATAGTTTCTGAATTAATAGTTTCTGCAAAGATTGAAGTATAGTGGTAAGCAGTAGCCCCCAGTTATGTCACTTTTCTTGCCTTCACCTGCCTTTGTTGCTTTGTTTTTAGATCTGTCAGTGGAATTTGGAACTGTTATAGTTTACACATGTGAGAGAAGCTGTTGGCCAACAAATCACCAAACACCTCTTGAAGAATTTATTTTTGTACAAGAAGACCCAGATCAGAAATTATTTAAATAAATTGTATTTCTCTACATAGATGAAAAGTCTGTTGGATGTTTTTTTCTTGTTATGGGTTTTTGGTTTTTTCCTAACTACAGCAGAAAGTGTGTAACAATGCAACAATCCAATTGTGCTGCTTTAATTTTAAACTGCCTGCATTCTTCTCTGGCATTCCCTGTTGGTTTGGGCTAAATTGCAGTATCTAAATTGACTGAATGGAGGAGTAATTTAAGTCAGTGTCCTTCGAGCATTCTGTACAGGTTTAATGCTGCAGCATAAATTAGTGCTGTAAAAGTGTGTGCTTAAAATGAGGGGAGGGGGAGACACACAGACAGACAAACAACAGGACAGCCTGAACTGGTGGAATGTGTTTGCAAAGCTGCTTTTTAATGGAAGAATGTAGCTTATGACATCAACTTCTAGAGGAGAGTTAGTTAACTTGGGCTGAGTAATAATAATAAATATACAAAAAATACTAAATATAAATATGTTAAGTAGATTAAAAATATCATAGAATATGCTGAGTTGGAAAGGACCCATCAGGATCATCGAATGCAACTCCTTGCCCTGCACAGAATAAATACCCCAAGAATCCCAGCATGAGAGGATTGTACAAATGCTTCTTGAACTCTCTATATAGTAATATAATACATAAATATATTTATGATCTAAATCTATTTAATTTATAAATATATAATATGTATAGCTATATTATATAAATATATTAAATATATAAACATTACTTATATAGTGATATTGAATATATGAATATATTAAATATGCATGTTTAAAATATTAATCTATTCAAAACAAACACCAGTAAAGCTCTCGTGTTGCCCGGGAGCGCTGCCGTGGGTGCTCCCGCTCTGTCCCGGCCGTGCCGGTCCCCGGGTGCCCAGCGCGGAGTTCGGGGCCGGGCGCGGGGCGGTTCCCGGCGGGAGCGGGACTCGAACCTGGGGCGCCCGCCCCACTCTCCCGCGCGGTCCTCCGGGCCGGCAGGGGGCGCGGCGGGGCGCGGGCGGCGCTCCGCCCCGCGCGGGCCGTGAGGAGGCGCGCGGAGCCGCCGCCGTGTCCGTCATGGCGGCGCCGCTGTCGGGGCCGCTGCGCCTCGAGCTGGCCCAGGCCGTGTCCCAGGCGCGGGTGCTCGTGGTGGGCGCGGGCGGCATCGGCTGCGAGCTGCTCAAGAACCTGGTGCTCACCGGCTTCAGCAACATCTACGTGGTGCGCGGCGGGCGGGGGCCGGGGCCGGGGCGGGCGGGCCGAGCCCGTGGGGGCGCTCGGTGGGGGCGCGGGGCCGGCGCGGCCGCTCCCGCCGCGCTGTGAGCGCGGGGCCGAACCGGACCCGCCCGGCCCGGCCCGACACGGCCCGGCCGCCGCGGCCCCGCCGGGCCGGGGGCGCCACAAAGGGCCGCGGCCTGCGCGCCATCGCCGCCCTCGGCCCCGCCGCGGCCGCTGCGCCGCCTCCCCCGGCACGGCACGGCACGGCACGGCCACCCCCGGGAGCCGGCCCGGACAGCGCCGGTGGAACCCCCCGGCACACCGCGCTGCCCGCCTCTGCTGCCCGGCCGTGTCAGGAAAGGCCGGGCTTTGCCCGGTGCCGGCGTGCCGGGGGTGGTCGGGGGTGAACTGGAGCGAGGAAAACCCGCGGGGAGGGGAATTGTGTGTTCCGATACCGGGCTGTAGAACCGTCAGCGCTGGGATCCGCTTACGGCGCGTCCCGCGGGCTCTTGCTTTCACTTTTGCTTCCAGATATTAATCTGAAAATGTGTGGGAAGGGCAGGTGTGTGTGTGGGGGGGGTGATGGAAACGGGATAGAGAGAAATGCTGTCGGCAGAACTTCGGTTACCCGGTGTCCAAACCTGTATCGATTCCTTACTGAAATGAGGAACAGCGCATGGTTTCAAATCCAGCTGGAGCACAGTCTGTTCCCTTGAGTACCTTTGTCCTGCCGAGTGTGCCCAGGAGTCACACCTGGGAGTTTGGTGTGCCAGGCTGGAGGAGTTTGGGGTTGTGCTCAGACGGGCTGAGCAGAGCAGCTCGTACCTAGAACTGTATCAGCTCGTAGAACAACAGCTACTGGTTTGCCGTGTTATCTCTACAACTCAGACTTTCCCACTGAGATACGCTTAAAACACATTCTACAAGTTTAAAAAGTAGTTCCAGGTTGTCCCTTTTGTTTAGAGCCTTTCCAATTTGAACATTGTAGCAGGGAAATAAACTGTAGAAGAGAGGAAACCTGCATTTTCTGCAGTATTCCCCCTTTTTTCCCCACCTTACCAAGTCAGTTGTGTCCTCCTGCAGAACATTACAATAGAGTTTAATAGCTCCTGATTTTCCAGTTGTTCATTAGGCATAAATCTCCTGCTTATTGTTTCACTTATTATAATTTAGGTTCTGGTATTGTCTTTCAAGGCTGACTTGGTTGAACTCCATTAACTTAAATACATGTTGGATCAGAGCTGTCTTCATTTAACAATATCACTGGCAGTGTTTCATGCAGGACAGTAACAGTTTATTAACATAAGGAATGGGTGGGTAGAAGACAAGGTGAGAGCAAAAAAATAATAATTATGCAAAGAGGAAATTTGCTATCGGGGGAATAAGTTGCTTTTGTCAATATTTGTGATATTGTTGAGGGTTTTCCTTGGTTGTTAAATACTAACAAACCTGAACACTTGAAAATACTTTATATTTTTATAAGTAAGTTGTGATTTTTTTAAAAAAAAATACTAAAAAAAATTGGTAGTTTTGAATACCAGACAACTCACAAATATGTGACTTAAATATACTGTGTTGAAAGGCTGTTCTCCTCAGGAATGGAGAACAAAATCAAGTTACTCAATATCCAGGTCTGAATTAAGAACATGATATATATTCTTAAGAAGTTCTGATGCCTTTTCTTCCAGCTGACTAAAATGGTAGCGGTGTAGAAGTTGTTTAATAGGTGAACTGTTAAATTCTGATCATTTTGAGCTGGACTGGAGCTTCTGTTGAGGTCTAATGGTCAAGTTTTATCTCTGGAGAAAACCTTCCTTTGCCTCCCTTACCCTGGTTTTGCTGTTTGCAGTGGTATTTTGTGTCCCTTTGTCCTCATCCCCAGTTAAAATACTCAAAGTTTTCTGGGTAGTGGAAGTTTTAACAGAGTTTTGCCCTTAACTGTTTTCCCTTGAGGTTCTTGGTCTTTTTGGCTTTGGACTAAACAAGTTTTCTTACTGTGTCTCAGGAGAAAGAAAGGAGGTAGAAATGTGTTTTCATGCAAATACCATTTTCATTAATAGATACAAGGCCATGGGTAGTTACTCTGATACTGTGGGTGATAAAGGTTAACAGTCTCTGCTTTATAATACATTTCTAAGGCATTGTATCTTTTCTGTTTGCTCTATATTCACAAGTGCTTATATTTAGTGTTTCAATAAAACTCTTGAGCTATTGCAGTTCTTAGTATATTAAAGCTTAGTCCTTAAATTAAAGATATTCCCTTCAGAAAACAGGAATTTTAATCTTGGAGTTTGGATCTTGCATGCAAAGGATGTTCCATAAGTGTTTTTTTCATAATTCATAAAATGAGAAGTGTATGAGAACACCCTCAGTGTCATGTTTACCCTTCACACTGCACTGTCAGGCTGAGAGGAGTGAAAGTGTTGCTGTGTTGAGTTTGTCACCATTATCTGTGGGAACTGTGAGAAACATCTCTGATACTCAGAAAAACTGTCCCTCCTCCTGGTTACAAATGTTAAGGACAGGAGAGGACTTCTAAAAAGAGTCACTGATCAGAGAAACTGTTTAATTAGAGGAAAAGTAGTAACAAAGCTAGGAATAAATGTCAGAGTTCTAGTTAAATCTTAATTCTGGTGGTGGGGGTTAAAGACATTTGAATTTTTGCTGTTCCTGTGCATATATTAATAAATAGGAACAAGGCTTTTAGGGGAATTGCAGACATGGCATCCTTTGAGGTTGTACACCACAGGTGTTCTGTGCTGTATGTTTTTAGACCCCTTGATTGTGTGATTGGATATTTTTATTTTGTAAGCAAACTTCATTATTTTTTAACATGCACTTGGGCAGTTAGTCCTGTGACAACCAGTAAAACTCGTGCCCTGCAGTGTGTGTGTAAGATGGTGATGCAGCCCTTGGTTCAGTGATTCAGTTGCTCAAAGCCATGTTCATTTGTAAACTGGTTGGTTTGGAGCAGCCTTTCCTGCACCTTGGGGAAGCCCAGAGCAGTGTTCAGGGTGGGATTCCCGAAGGTAATGAGGTGATCACTTGTGCCTGTCCAGTTGCTCTAGTGTGACACCTGAAAAGGGGTCTGTGCAGTTTCTGCATTTTGGTCAGTCACCTTTCCTTCAAACCCTGTTCCTGATTTTGTTCCTTCTGTTTCCGTGGAAGTGAAATGCCTCTCTTGTTTGTTCGTAGATTGATTTGGATACTATTGATGTCAGCAATCTCAACAGGCAGTTTCTGTTTCAAAAGAAACATGTTGGAAGATCAAAATCACAGGTGAGGAAAAAGTCAAAGCTCAAGTCTTCTTGCTCAGTATTATTTTATGGATAGTGTTAGAAACATGTCCCAGTGTAGTTTCTGCTGTGCAGAGGTAAGTGTTGGTTGGTTATCATGGCTATCCACAGCATTTCATTATAAAAGTATTTAAATCTCTTAGGGTAGCCAACTTACTCGATACTCAACTGGTATCAAGTCTGTCTTTAGAAGGAAGGAAGAAATAATAAGTGTTTTTTTTGTTTTCTTTTTTTTTGTTTTGTTTCTAGGTTGCCAAGGAAAGCGTGTTACAGTTTTGTCCAGAAGCTAATATTATAGCTTACCATGATAGCATCATGAAGTATGTTTGGTTTTAAGCTCTAATTCCATGTTTTGATTTGCAAGTACTGTGTTATTTAAATGCTACAGTGGTGTGCTTTAAGGTATTTTACAAAGCTTCCTCAGTAAGGAGAAATAGCTGTAAATGTGAGCCTGCCACACACCTGAGTGTGGATTTTGCATGAGTTTTAAGCTCTGGTAGTAAGCTGTAGTCATTTGCTTGTGTCTGTTT